TTCCCCTACTAAAATAGGCAAACCAGAAAAACAAGTTGGACCAACTTATTCTAACCTCTCAAATCTGGAGGACCTAGTCAACATTCATGCCCGCCGCAGCAACCGTCGAGGCGCCGCGCGCCACGCGCCGCCGGCGCCGCCTGTCGCCTCCCCCGCGGGCGTCGTGGGGTCGGCGAACCTGGCGCCCCGCTCGGCGGCCAATCAGCGTGTGGCGAGCGCCGCGGCACGGGGGGTCCACGGTGGTGTTCCGTTTGCTCAAGAATATTCTAGGGGTGCCTTCCATTTTCATTCTTTGCAATGATCCTTCTTTCTAGAAAACCTCCGGAAACCCAGGGAAAAGGGCCGGTTTTTGGAAAGAACACTGGTTGAAAAGAACGGGGAATCAACCCCTAGAAATATGTGTTGTTTGCCCCTGTGGGCGTTAAAAGGGAATTTATGGCTGCTGGAAAGTATGTTTTGTTTTTTTCTTTCCCGGCGACCCAAGCAATGGAAGTTGGAAGGGGATTTGACATTCCGCTGCGATAAGTTTCATTTCCGCCCTGGTACCAGAGATGTGGTCTTTGCAGCGGCGAAACCCTTGAGGTTGCCCCAAGACAGGTGGTTTGCCTTTTGAATCCGCCCCCTTAAAGCCAAGCAAGAAGAGGGTCCCCCAAAAAAGACACCCAAATGGCTACGATTTTTTTAGGGAACCACCTAGAAAGCGATTGGTGGACATGAATCCCCACCGAAATGCTGTCCACCAAAGTCCCTAATGAAAATTCAGACCCAGCATGGTCAAGAGGCATAGGACAGGCGGAATCCAGCGAAAAGGAATCTCCCCACGGATCTTCGACATCGATCTGCGAGATCCTGCCATCAGCAGGTTGACCTCGGGCATCTTTGCGGCCCATGAGGTTCCGTATGGTCCAATTGACAGCTTTGCATCCCCTCTCCGCATGCCAAGCGAGAGCGGGGTCATGCGAACGCCCCTAAGCCTACGTAGGCTGTTCGTGACTTGCAAAACTTGTTGAATGCCAGCGGATTACCTGTTTGAACCAAAACACAAGGGGTGGCCACGGCAGATTCAGCGAAACCAACGGGTCCAGGAAGGCGTAAGAAGGCGACAGCCGTGGCGACACAAACTCCGGAGGCCAAGCCGTCGGCCGAATACCAAGACGCTGAGCAGGGCTGCAAAGCGAGTTCGCAAAGAAGAACAGCTCTAGGGGTTGATTCCGTTTCCTTTCTTTTTAACCATTGTTCTTTTCAAAAACCAGCTGTTTTTTTCAAGGTTTTGGGTGGTTTTGTAGAAAGAAGGATGCCTGGAAAGGATGGGGAAGGTACCCCCAGAACAGCGCCAAGTTGATTCGCCTGACATTCATCAACTCCTCAGACTCCATGTTATCTTGAACAGTGGCGGCTGCGTAGAGAGAGGAGCGCGCACAAGCAATTCTTCAAGGACACTCAAAACCTAAGACATGAGCCCCGTAATCAAAGCACTAGCTAGCGACGTAGGGACTCATGGTTTGCTCATTTGGGATCTGGGAGGGACATCGAGGAATCGCTAGATATCTAACAAAAACCAGGGGGGCACTCATTTTCCCACAGAGCAACGGTCAATATTTACCAGCATTTCGTAGTACGGAAATGACATGGGTCACACTCACCCAAAGGCACCATTAGGACATGCAGGTTACTCATTAACATTGACCTTGGCTATCCTCTTCTCACTTGCCCAAAGCGGACATTTCGACCTTTGGTTTTCCCATGTTGAAGTCTAGACCCCCAAAGGATCAACCGTGTATGTTTGGTTCCTTTGGGACAGTGAGTCTTTGGAGAAGTGGCTTCGACCGTCGCATGAAGGGAGGTCCCTCGTTCCGAGCAACGGGGATCTGCTCAGTTGGGGCCGCACTGCTGCTGGCCGCCCGCTACCACACCCGGCAAGCTCGACGAGCGCGCGCAGCGCGCGCGGTGCGACGAGCAGAGAAGTCAGAGAAAGGAGCGGGGGCTCAGCTGTGAAGCCATCAGTCAGCTTGGTCTTGGCGGCTCATAGCCTTTTAGTGTTTAGTGTTAGTTTCCATTTACCCCACTAAAAGTTAAACTTTTAGCGGGGGATCTGAGAGCAGCCCAGTGGTGATTTCCACCAAACATGGTTCAAGCACCTTCTGTTTGCAGCTGCGCATCTAAGTGCCTTATGGATCCCTTTTGTCAGGTTTTGGGACTTGTAGAATTGCAGATGATTTCCATCAAAGTCCAGCTACCTTGTATCACACTCCGAGCCAAACCCGGAGGGACGTGAAACCTTCCATTTGGAGAAGTTGGTTTTTCAGTTTGACGCATGAAGAAGTTGGGTGTGTCTTCTTTGGGGGGTACCCCCTTTTTGGGATGGTTTTAAAAAGGAAGCAAGTGGAACACCATCATTTAAATCGGTGCCCCATTTTTAGGCAAACCCAATTCTCAAACCCCACCCTGTCACTGTCACTGAGTTGTTTGTTGGTGCTCGGCCGCGAAGGGAAGTCAAAGCAATGATCTCATGTCTGCGGAATGTCAGTTATCAAGGCCGGACCTGCGAAGGAAGACAGCCCTATTTACCCCAGATGTTTGGTTCGACATGTAACCCCGGTCGATTCCTAACAATTTCCGCATGTGTACTCATGCAGCTTCGTCACTTGTCCACCTCAGGGATCTCATTGGGATCCTAGTAGCCAATACTCATCTGCAGTGTCCACGTCTGAAAACATGCAAAGCGTAGGTTTCCAATGCTGCAGAGACACTCGGACCACCCTGGCTACCACTGAAGCTCCCGATACATAACATATGAGCCACAGCAAGTAGGTACCAGTAACTGTAGTATTCATTGCCCCCACCATGGGAGTTTCTCAAAATGTTAGGCCCCCGTTTGTTTGGTTTATGAAGCGAAACCAAAGGGACACCACTGCCAGTTGAATGGACGCGATTCCTATTTCGAGACACATCCATGTTATGGTAAACTTTCATTTGTTTAAAAATATGTTATATTTCCCCTGTTGGTTTTAAAGGGAATCTATCACTACTGGAAATATGTCATTGTTTTCCAGGGGTCTTAAGCAAATGGAAGTAAATGGGTGACTCATCCCGATGTTTACAGGGCAATTTGGTGAGCGTACCCAAGGCCTCTCCTAACGAGCTGTGCACCGACGGGGCAACCCACAGATGGCTAAAACCCGGCGGGTGAACATGGTTGATGGTGGCGTGGAATGTGGGTCGTCATTGTTCAAGGGCTTTGAATCCGCCACTGAAGCTAATTGTTTCACGGGTTCAGAAGGTCTAGCCTTGCTTTGGAGCGAACGTGGACCGGCAGACCACTCAGAATGTGACTTGTCGAAAGCGTACTTTGCACGCCTACCCAAAGGTTCCATCGGTACCCTCTAAGGATGTTTATTTGGGGGTCAAATGAAGCACCTCAGGAGATTCTTGGACACCTAACTTGGCACTCCGCCAATGTTATTTCATATTCTAGGGTAAACATATATATATATAGGTATTTATTTATTTTTCAAAGACAAATCTGTGAACTGAATATAAAACAGAATCATTTTCGTACCCCAGATGTGGGCCAAGAAATAGGGCTAGTATGCCACCCAATGCCTCGAACACGGCCCCAAATCCATTGGCTTCAGGATCCACCACTGCCCTACGCTCAGCTGTCCGTCGGGAGGGGAGAAATTGATGCGCCAGGCCTAGAGTAATTCGGTTGGTTGCAGCCCAGCATCCTTGTCACTGTTCTATGGGTTCCTACATTTCTGTGCAATTAGAAATCATGGTGGGGCAGTGCAAAGTCGTTCCAGCTGCGTGAGCTCACTGGGGTTGAATATCAAAGTGAGTTTCCTTTTGGCGCGGCGACATTTCAAGGGGAAATCTTGGGAACGCTGTCGTTTGTGTGCATTCCCTTAAGATCCATCTGGGCAATATTTGACGAGCTCATCCATTCGGGGGGGTGAAATGATCACACACCCATGATGACGGTTTGTTACTGGGGGGGTTCCTATGTGTTCGCTTTGGCAATTCTAGTTAGTGCAACGTAAAAGAGTGTCCCATATTCCCATTGTTTTCCCCCATGGCACGGTGGTTTCTTTTGATGGCGTCAGGCTAGCAGAGGGATAGCCATACAGTTGCTTTTGTTGTATGCATTATTAATTGAACTTCCAAGTTGCTTGACATGCTGGATAGATTCGTGCGCAAGTGAGTGCTCACAGGGCTTGAAACATTGTCTCCTGCAGCAACAGGTGTTTGTCGTGTGGTTTGTTCTCTCTCAAAAGCCAGTGGTTGCAATCCTTCTGTCATCTAGGTCCCCCAGTAGTGCCCTTCTCTCCCCTTTTTTTTGGGCCTACTAAAATAGACTAAAGAAAGAAGAAAAACATCGGGCACTTTCATTTTTAGCCTCTCTACTGGAGGACCTAGTTCATGTTTTGATTCATCCAGGTCCAAGTGGAAGACGCGGAGGCTCTCGAAAAGGAGGCCAGGTCAGTCGGGCCTTTGGAGTGAATGGAGGTTTGAACCGCCCGGGAAGCCGCCGCCACCAATCCAAGCCACGATCAAAGACGTGACTGAGGTTTGCAAAGTCTCTAGGGGTAACAACCAAGGCGTAAAGGACACCGCCAGGGTTTTGCCCCTTCCCCATGTCCAATCTTCGCTTCGGGGAGAATGTGAACTGAACATATGCTATTGTCCTATGGGTAACCTCCATTTCCATTCTTTCCAGGGATCCGGTTCTTTCTGGAAAACCGCCAAAGATCCTGGGGAAGTGGCTGATTTTTGAAAAGAACGATGGCTGAAAAGAATGGTTGGAATCAACCCCTAGAAAGTCCATGAAGAACTTCTTTCATATGGCTGTGGCTCAATTCTAACAGCTAGGGTTACGCAGGTCTTGGTCCATGTTTCCACTTACCAGGGTTCCATTTTAGTACCGGTTTTTTGAGCCATACCCATGTAGGGATCCCTGATTTGTGGGTGAGTTCAAAGCGTGGCCAGTCACAGAGCCGTCCATGAAGGTGTCCTTCCATAGGGGGTCCCTGATATGTCGGATTCAACCCCGCTGCGGCGAGGAGTAACAAAGCTCGGTGAAGTTTAGGATTCGCCTCCTGTCCACTAAAGAGCCTGACTAAAAAGCATCCTGGAAGACCATGTCTTCTTTCATATGCGCCAGTTCTCTGGTGGGTTCCATGTTAGATAGGAGGCGCCTTCTCAAGCGGCTGGGAAAATTCGGGACTGGGGAGCAAGGGAAAGGGCCTGGCAGGGTGCCCACATCAATTGACTGTGTCACTGCAGTTGTACCCTTGGGATTTTTGGGATCAGTATACCTAGGTCCCCCAGTACTGCCCTTCTCTCACCCTTTTTTGGTTGGGAGGGCTCCCCTACTAAAATAGACGTCCTGAAAAGAAATCGAGTACCCGTATTCTAACCTCTCTGCTGCAGGACCCTAGGAACAGTCTTTCAATGAAAGACCCGACCCCTCCATTAGACACCCCTGAGGTGGTTGGGGGTCTCAAAACCAGGTTGTTTGAAGACCCTAAATCAATCGGGAGCCTTTGGCCAAGAGAATTGTCTTCCCAAGAAGTGTTAAGGCCCAGGACCTCATCAACCAGCTTTTGTGTTTTTGGTCCGCGCTATCCCCAATCCACTCAGGATGTTGAAGACTGGATGAATAAGAGCTTTAGGGTTCATACAGGGTGGGCGTCTATGGATAGCCAGGCGTTATAAAGCTTGCTTGAGTCTGTAGCAATCCCAAAGGAACCAAGTTACTTCTAGCGAGGTACTTGACCCCGTTTTTGCCCCCGCTCACACAACAACGCAAATATAATTAAACATCATATTTGTCTAAGGAACTCTGCACTTGAAACATGTGTTGTTTTACGGAAGAGCACGGCAAGCCAGCCATGCGGCAAAACCTAAATCGGGAATTGGAATTTCCCGACATACTTAAAATGGGGCGATCGCGTGAATCGTGGTTAGCAAGCCTGGTGAGATAACCCACTTGGGAGACTTATAACCAAGAGCTGGCAGGCTTACTAACCGCTTACCTGACCCAATCCGCCTCAGGCCGCGAAGCTTCGAGCAGAAGTGGCCGAGCTGGAGAAAGAGCAGGACCGGAGCAGACGCGAATCCGGCTTTTGGTTTGCGGGTCGTTTGGGGAATCATACTGTGGATGGTTACGAAATCCATTTCGCGCCGTTCAGAAACCCAACGGAGTGAGTCATGGACCCCAAACGGTGTCTGCATCAAGTCTTGATCTTGGGTGACATTCCGCGCTCAAATTGGCAGCCCGGAGAGCGAACTTGACTGCCGGTTGCGGAGGTTGCTTCACAACCAAGTTCCACATTCTGGAGCACAAGCCTTCCATATATGACTGGAACCCAACCTTAATGAACCCCTGGTTGACTAGGTTTGGTTGGGCTCCATATTTAGGAGGGAATTCGTATCATTCACAGAGTTCACCTTGCTTTGGCTTTTCTCCATATCAAACCTATCATTTACCTTCCTTGTTTGGTATGGCTCAACATCTCACTTCCTGAGTTCTGGACTTCATACTTCATGGGAAGACCCTTTTGAGTGGTAAAATAAGAAGTTCTGGCTTTTTTTTGGGCTATCCACTCGATCGGAAATGAGGGCTTCGGACTTGCCATGCGTTTTGTTTTTTTTTCTCCAGGAGGAGGCGCGGCGGAAGGAGCGCCAAGCCTTGTTCCAGATCCTGGACACCGACAGCGATGGGGACCTCAACCCCAAGGAGGGTTGGGGTTGGTGGGGTGAGGATGGGGCGTTTGGGCTGGGGTGAGGGATTTAGTCGAGGGTTTGGTTGGGGGTGTTTGGTTGGTTTAAGAAAGCCCTGGTCCCGTTGTGGGTTGGGGTCGGGGTTGAGAGAGGGTTGGTGGGATGGAAGGCTTCGGTGGGGGTTTGGCTGGGGTTGCTTGGTGGGATGGAAGGCTTCGGGCTGGGGTTGCTTGGGGTGTGTGTGTTGGGGGGCCGAGATGTTGGTTTGTTTGAGCGACCCGGACCACTAAGGAAAGCAAAACCGCAAGGATACAGTTCTAGCACACAATATACGCATGGAGCCTGTCAAGATTCGCAGAGGAAGTGGGGATCCATCTTAAACGTGTCCATTGAATACGCATGTGGCAATTTGTTCGTTGCGTGTCGACAGTTACTGGCTAGATAATTGTTCTTTTGTAGTGCCTGAAGCAATTCAATTTGAAGATACTATGGGTAATTTGGGCTTACCTCTTGGTGGTCTACCTTGTGCTTGTTTTGTCTCTGCTTCATGCCGTGGATGCGGTGGATGTTGCCAGATATTGGGTGCGGAGTCGATTCCTGATGTCAGAGATTGGCCGCTGAGCCAAACATATGCCATGCCTCATGATACGAGGCATGGTTGTAGCGCATGGGCCCACGGTCGGTGACACCAAAAGAAACTATCTCTTCAACGACAAAGTAAGGACTTCCCACTTTAGCATTGCAGGCCAGGTTGTTTTCCGCAACCAAACCGTCACAGCTTCTGCCGGATGGAAGTGTCTCATTGGGGGTCTGTGTGGTGTCCTATTCGGTTGACCATATTTCCTGACAGTACCTGTTTGTCAACATCGACCCTGGTGGCCGCACTGAACATTGTTCTCTTCATTCATTGGGTTGCGAAATCCCACTCCACAAGAATCTGGATACAATACATGCTGTGATTGATTTCAATAGTTCTTTACAACCAGGATTCAGTCTGGCTTCTGCTGTTGCCTCTCGAACAAATGGGAAACCCTCCAAACAGGTGGTTGTCTTGTGGCTTTCCCTGTCAACTGCCAGCGCGATTTATTTCTTACGGCCAAGGCTAAGATCCTACGGCGAGCACCAAGACAGCATAACAACAGCAGCTACAAGTATTGTTTGGACCACAGAAACTATGATTATCTCATGCTTGTGCACAACTCCGGGCCAAGCCAATTCCTGGCAAAGCAGAGTTGCTGGAACCTCATGACCGAACCAGCGCAGAAAGTCTTTCGTTTCCTTTTGGTTTCCTTTTGGTTTCCTTTTCCAAGAACCAAGGGCGGTGCGACTAGAAGCACCCTGGCCTCAGACGGCTCTCACAGCATCGGAACCATGTACTGATGGACGAATTTTTGGAGAAACCAGCCAGTAAAGGGCATTCGCAGAAATGGGAACAAGCTTTGGGAGTGAAACGAGATTAAACGTACAGTGGATCGACGAATTCCTCCACGACTTTGAAACCATTGTTTGTCGGTATTTACAAGGGAATCATCATAGGGCTTCTGAACGGTACGAAATGGATGGTGCAACCATCCGCAGTATGTTTCAAAATGTTCATTTCATGTGGTTTGGAGGTGAGATAAAACGTGTCTCCGTTGAGAATATTGGGTTTCCAAGAAGGGAATCCATGAAGTGAGAAACGAAACAAGTTGGGATCCCTCGTTCCGCCCATTTTGGAGGTTCCCCTAAAACAACACACACACACACCTTTTAGTTCGTTTCCTCGGAAAATCCCATGGGCTGTGAGAAACGAACTAGGAGTTTTTTTTTGAATGGGATGAAGCTATAGAAGGGAAGCCAGCAACAAACCAATCCATATCCAGGCACAAACCAGAGCAAGGCTCCTTAAAAGATACGTTTTGCCCATTTGAAACATGGCTTTTTCAACACCAAAATAAAGGGAGACCACCATTTACAAGGCAATGTTCAGGTGTGGAATGTAAGCATAGGGAAGCCAACAAGTTGTTGGCCACCACAAGCCATAGAGGGAAAGCAACAATCCAATCCGTGAAGCTAAACTCCTACACCTTTTGGTTAGTTTCCAACTAAATCCATGGGCTGTGAGAGACGAAGAAAAGTTGGGACCCGTCAAACCCCTGGTCTATCCAGCCACAAACCATAAAGGGAAGACAAATCCATGGGCTGTGAGAGACGAAGATAACTTTGGCGCATTTTGCTTCGATGTTAGGATTTTAACTTTTGCCAACTCATGGTTTTTCCGCATTAGACCACTGAAAGCTAAACTTTTAGCATGGGAGCAGAAAGCAACCGAGCAAAGTTAGGACGCCCTTTTGTCAGGAGCTCCAGAAGGGTGTGAAGGACGTCATGGGCGTAGAGGTGGACGACGAGACCGCGGAGCGCCTGGTGAAAGCGTTGGATGTGAATGGCCCCTCGGACGCTAACCCGAGGGCCCGAGGGCTGCGGTTGCAGGCGATCCCTACCTTACCCTCACTTCCTGAGTTCCTGAACTTTAAACTTTTCGGGAAGACCATTTTAGTGGTACATAAAAAGTTCGGACTTTTTTTGGCAGATCCACTCAGGAAGTGAGTACCTTACCTTCCTTTTGCTTAAGATTTGTTATTTCTTCATGTTGGTGTTAAAGGACATCTATCACTGCTGGACATATGTTTACTTTTCCAGGGGTCTTAGCCAAATGGAAGTTACCTTACGTCCCCTGGAGAAGAAAAACACTTTTTTTTTGTAAAAAAGAAGAAGAAGAAAAACGTAAAAACAAACACGTGTTCGGGAGTGATAGATGTCCTTTAAAGCCACCAGAAAGTCCCCTGAAAACAACAACGTAGTCATAGATTCTCTTTAAAACCAACAGAGCAAGTAAGATCAGATTAAACAAACTTATATACACTTACCTTGATCTTCCAGGACCCTGGAAAAGCAGGCCTTTGGCCGAGTTTCCATTTGGAGCCAAGATCAAAATCAAGGAGGACCCTGGTTTTGCGGGTCCATGGAAGACCAAGGTTAAGATTCTTAAGCGAATGGAAGGTTTTGAATGAACAGCTCGATAGGCAGGGAATGAGAAATGGAATAACCCCAAGAAAACCCATCGCCTCTGGTTTTCTTCATTCGGGAATCCCAAAACGGTTCATTCCCTCATCCTGCTGAGCACCAGCAAGTATCTTCCTCACCGATTTTTGTCCTGAGCAGCTATGCTATCCCGTTTGCCCAGTGGACTCCACTTCGTTTTTTTCCCTTTAAGAAGTCTTTGAGGATATTTTTACTT